TTTTTGTTCTCTTGTATAGATGTCTTATTATTTTTTTGATTATTTTATTTTGTAAAACTATCTATGCTTCTTTTAAAAAACAAAACTCAGTAAAAAAAAAAGTAGATTATTATCTTTATAGCAATTTATTGATAGTGTAATTTGTTTATTATTTCTTTGCTTTGCAAAGAAGGTTTAAGTTCAAAACTTGAGCTACAAAGTCTGGATAAAACATAAAATATATTTCAGAAATGTATAATCCGAGCAGCAAATGAGAATATACTAAAAAAGAAAGTTCTAAGAAAAGCTAATAACAGAAAGAAGAAAGACAATAAGAGAAGAACAGAGTTGCATCAAAACACAATTACTCTAAGCAAAATTCCGAGAAAACTTAGAAAAAGTTTAAACCAAAACTCTTCTAATCTTGACCTAGATAGTATTAACAGAGATTTTGAAAAAATTAATTTATCTCATCAGACAAATATACCATGAGTTGAAGAAAACTCCAAAGACCTAATAGAAGATATAAAAGGATACTGGAAGATTTTAAATACAAAGTGGGCAAATGAAAGAATTCAAGAAACAAGAATAGAAATCAGTAAAAAAATTGAAAAGAGATATGCAATAATTGGAACTAAACAAAAGAGAATGATACATAGTTTACTAAACAAACCTTGAAAAAAAATACAAGTTGACTACATCATTTTTGAAATCTCAAATAATAAAAAGAGACTTATAGTAGACCCAGAAGAAATTCTGAATAAAACAAAAGAACACTTCCAATATCAATTTCAAAGAATTCTTCTGCCAAACTAATAATTTTTTTGCATTTGATCTTTGTTATTTGCCGACCATGTTGTGTTATTTGCATAGGCTATTACTGAGTGCCTAATAATTGAATTGTCCAAGAGATTACTAGCAAATTCTGTTAATTTCTTAGACTTGATTATATAGCCCAACTCTAGATCTTGGCTAATTCTTTGCAGAAATAGATCATAGAATATATGCCAGATAAGAGAAAAAATTACCTCACCCTAGTTGATTCCATCTTGTGTCTCAAATGACTCTGTTATGTCTATGGTTATAATTACTTTGGCTTTTCTCTTTTCAAAAAAGCTTATAATGAACTGTATTGCAGCTGATAGCATTTTAATTCTTTGAAGAGCTAACTTGAGCATACTTAGTGAAACTGAATCAAATGCCTTTTTCATATTCTGGTATAGGACCCACAACTCTCTATTATTATCTTTTGCATTCTCCATCAACATGTTAATTGTATAAACAGGTGTTTTAGTTGAACCATCAGAGAGCCTAGCAAAGTTGGAACTTTATAGAATTTCTCCATCTATACAAATTGTTGCAAGTCTTCTATCAAAGATTCTGGTTATATATTTTCTAAAAGATTTCAAAAAAGCAATTGGGTGAACTTTGTCTAGTGAAAACTCCCAATCTATGTCTTTTAAAATTAAGTAAATTTGTTCTATTTTCTATTTTAAAGAAATATTGCCTTTAGTAATACAGTTACTTGCAAAAGTACAAAAGATTTTTTGTAACTCTGTACTTGACTTCTTAATAAGAAGATAGTTAATTCTAGAAATACCAGATGCTAAGTTATTTTTCATAGTATTGAGAGCCTGTAACCATTCATCAAGCATCACTGGTAGTAATAGTTCTTTATACCAAGATTCTTCTATATTTGTTTTGGGGCTATAGATTT